GTCGGATTATCCAGTCACTGCTGTACTACCCTGGCAGTACCTCGGCTGCTTTGGTTCACTCTCTCCTCTCTCACGGTGCCTGTTTTTGGCCACAGCAGGCAAACTGTTTTCAGGGAGGAAGCTCTGAAAATCCACTACCTGCTCAGCACCAGACAGCAGACGGTCAGAGACTCGCTGTGAACATGGACGAGTGTTCGGTAGCCGAACAACAAGATATCGAGTGTTGGCTCAAACATGAGAGGCACAGACAGGAGCTGGCTGAGTCTTCTCCGTTATGAATTTAATCATTGAAGCTTCGTCATTTGCGAGTAACGTGACACACCTTAATCAGCCTGTTATGAATATGTGGCTGTCCTGTTACCACCTGCTATTCATCTCTAACTGGGCTTTGGAGACAAAAAAAATACACAATGATCAAGATAAAGGGTTTAAAATGATATAAATAATAATAAATATATGTAATTATTATCAGCACTGGCACAAAATTAAACATTGGCAGGAAAATAATGCCGGTCAGTGTTTGAGTTTTATATAAAAATGGTGATTAATTATGATGTTTTACATGAAAGTTGGGAATGTTTTCTTTATTTATAGGCGTTGTTTAGCTTTAAGTGGGACATTATAGTAAAAGTAGGGATAAAAATATGGTCTTTCTGAACAGACTTGATGGTTTCTGTAATTATTAAATGAAGCTCTGTGAAGTTCTTGTAGTGGTTTCAGAGGGATGTTTTTCTAAGTTACCAGGATGTTCTTCTCAGAGGCAGGATAACGTTTTCTAAAGACGTTCTAAAGATGTTTGCCGACACCATTTTCGATTATCGTGCCCTGATATTCTTCAAACGTTGTCCAAACGTTACCATGAGAATGTTCCTCCTTTGTTATCAGGGAGCGTTGTGTGAAAATGTTTTATTGCATCCAACAACATCCCCAAAACATTCTGAGAGTATCTCCGGCAAAATGTTCTCCCTTTGTATTACAAGAACATTTTATTTTAAAAAGCATTTGTCAACTCCACCCTCGAGAACGTCTTAAAAACGTCGTTTGAATGCTGGTTTGTTCTTATTTGGTTATCATGGACCATAATCTGATGACATTCTCAAAACATCCTCGAAAGGTTGCAGGTAAAACGTCACATCTTCGTCAACTATTAACATTATCGGAACATTACTGGAAATGACAAATATCCCTAAAATATTGTTATATATATTGTAAAACGGTGTCCAGTATCATCAGTGCAGAAGACATTAAATCACTAATATAAATGTATTTGACTTTTTGAACCCACCTTGGAGTGGGTCGGTTATTAGAACGTTGTGGTAATGTTCCCTGCTTGCTGGGAACCTCCAACACCGTGCATTGATAATAGCTGTCCACACCAGTGAGGCACCACATGGCACTTACTGTTCAGATAAATCTAAAGCTTTGCACATTTCAGATTTTGACACCAACATTTTCACTCCCGCTCCAAACCCAGTGTGTAATTAAATATGGCGGTTTTGGCATTTTGCGGCTGCGTCATAAAGGCGACTGCGTGCTGGACCTCCTGACAAGTCGGTACAGTTTGCCCTGAGTGTGTCTCAAAGTCAGCCTGGTTCCGGCCGGGTCGCTGCACACCTCGGAGGACAGATGAGCCAGGCACTGCGTGAGCTTCACCAGGCCCACCAGCAGAGCCCCGCCGCCCAGCATCAGGCAGGGCCACAGCAGAGCCAGCAGCGCCTTCCTCAGGGTGTACTTCCTGCTCAGGATGGCGTGGTCGGGGTGCGCGGTGGGGTCGACGAAGCACGACGAGCTGCTCCCCAGCTGGCTGTCCAAGCTGCTCTTCACTCTCCGGACCTCATCCTGGAGCGCTTTTCTGTCCATCTGACATTTGGGGATGTAGAAACACTGGGAAGGAAAAAGACAAGATTCAAGTTGTTTTTTTTATTTTCTTATCAAGTGACCTGCTTGTTACCGTCGGCGGCGCTGATTGCAATCAGAGAGACCGACTGCAAAGGCCTTTTTTTGGATTCTTGTTTAAAAAAAAAAAGAGAACATTTTCTCGCCTCAATTTTGCCGTAATGGCGCTGAAAGAACATCTGATACGATCTCTCTGAATGGAGCAGAAGTGCAGCGTGAGAGCATCGCCTAATAATATCTGCTGGCTCATTCACGAGAGCCGAGGAATTAGGGTACTGCTGCTACTTCATCCCGTCAGGTAGTTCAGTGCAGTTATTTGCCTTGACTGCTTTCTCAAGTCCCCACTTACATGTCTAATATGAAAGTGGGATTACTCTGAGTCCTGAGAAGCTGCATTAAGTTCTATTAAACAGAGCAGTCACACATGCTGCTGCTGGTGGCGGCACACAGACACAAAGTGAGAGGACACACACACACACTGAAGGCGATCCAAACATACAGCTGTAAGGTTAATCCACAAAACCCTGGAATCTACCTTCCAGAACTTCCTACCTCGGTCGCGAGGAGAACCGATTCCTCGTCGAAGTGGAGGAGAGCCTCCTGATTGGAGCCTGTGAGGTTGACCGTGGCCCTGAGGCAGGGCACCGAGCTCACGCCTCTGCAGTCCACCCACTCCTCCGGCAGCTCGGTCTGCTGCAGCACACAGCTCACCTCCTGCTCCCAGCTGCTGCAAGACAACCACCAGAGACCAGACTCACAGGAAGTAGGAAACTAATTGAAACGCTGCAGCTGAAGGACGGCATGCTGTCGCTGACGGCGGCCAGTAGCTGCAGGCATTCACGGGAACTCCTGGTCCTAATTTGGGACGTTATAATCAACTTTATCTTAAGCAAATGTTTGCACGAGAACAATATACCTGCTCAGCATCTTCATGTTTGCTCTTTCATTGATGGATTCAGGCCTTGTGTATAATGTTGATGTTAACAGCTTTGTACATAAATGCTGCAGAACACATACGGAAGCCCATTGCTGCCAGGAGAAGAAAAAAAGTTCTGCGTGACAAAAAATAAAAATACAGAAGATATTTAAAATGTTATTATTTGTGATGCACTACAAATACTTCTACCATACTTTTGGGTTATTTTTTTGTGTTCAGTTTATTTTTATTTTTGCAGCCATGGTCTTCCATAAACACCACAGTATCTGTACTATAGTTGGAAATATGCAAGTAACGTTCATGTTTTTCTTTTAAACACCGAAATTGTGAACCATAGGTTATCTTTCGGTTTTAATTATTAAATCAACAATGAAAACTTTGGCACAGTTTTGCAAAATGTGTGTTCAAGCCATTCAGAAAAACATGCAAAAAAACCCCCCATGAGGTATTGCTTTTGTCTGTTTCGTTTTTGACTACTGTAATGTCCGGACTATAAGCCGCTACTTTTTCACATGCTTTGAATGCTGCGGCTTAAACAACAATGCGGCTCGTTTATGGATTTTTATGAATTTGACAAAAGTGACACTGAGAGAGGAGTCTCCATGTTCTCCCCGTGCACCATGGGTTCTCTCCGGGTTCTTCAGCTTCCTCCCACACAGTCCAAAAACATGTTGAGGTTAATTGGTGATTCTAAATTGTCCGTAGGTGTGAATGTGAGTGTGCTTGGTTGTCTGTCTCTAAGTGTAGCCCTGCGATGGACTGACGACCTGTCCAGGGTGTCCCCTGCCTTCGCCCTAAGTCGGCTGGGATAGACTCCAGCCCCCCCGCGACCCTCGTGAGGATTAAGCGGTGTATAGAAAATGGATGGATGGATGGACACTGAGAGAAACAACGACAGAGAGACTGAGGAAGTGTGTTACGACATAATTCTGAGGCTGTTCAACTCCTTAAGACACTGAAGAAGACGACTTTAGTGGTTTTAGTGCAGGAGGATGATGAAGATAGCGATCAATGACTTTTCCTGGTAGGCTGCTGTATTTTTTATTTTTTTAACCAGCCGTGTTACAGGTGCTGTTCAGAAAAAAGCATCTACGGTACGTATCTGTGCACGTTACCGATACGTATTTAATTAAAAGTTAAAAAAATCTTTCTTTGTAAATGTCTCATGTTACAACGTGGACACCTGCAGCTTAAAATTAGTGGGCGTGGCTTATATTCAGGTGTGCTCAATAGTCCAAAAATTACAGTACTGTTCGTGCAGTTTTAATAAAACTGTTCATCAGCTAATGAAAGTAAATCAACAGTGTTGGTCCTAAATGTACCGGTGACATCTTATTACTCTATATAATATTCAGTCGTGGAAGGCACCAGCATGAACTAACAGGTGTGCAGCTAGAAGTTCGTTCCATCGTGTACCTGGTGACGTAGGGTTTGACCATCGTGATGCAGACCACGGAGAACATGAGCACGGAGAAGGCCATCATGGTGAAGCCCAGCAGGATGGCTCGGTCCTCCCCGACACTCGACACCGGCACCTGGGCCCGGGCCCCCTGCCCTCCTCGTCCATCGGCTCCACGGCTGCACTCGTGTTCGGTAGCGACTGCTGCATGGAGGACCTCCCTGTGACTCGCAAAGACGTGAATACGTGAACGGGCGGCGGGCGGTGGCAACAGCAAAGAGGAAAACTTTCCTTAAACATGAAGAGACCTCCAGCAGAGCCAGGCCAGGGGGGGCAGATATCTGCCTGGACTGGCTTGACTGAGGGTAAATACAGGGAAGAAAACAAATGGACAACAAGCAAGAGGTCCTAAACAGCCGACGGACTGGTGGAGCTGCAGATTACGCTTCAGAACCAGAAACAAAAAGAGGACAGAGAAGATAAAACACAAACTACAGCAGAGAGAAAGTTAACACCTGAAGCGACAGGAACTCCAGATGAACATGGGCCTATACGACCTTATGAGCAGAATGACTACGATGATGGCTGTTTAAACACCGGAGTGGAAAAAACAAAAGACTTAAAGAGAAAACTGAGCGAAATCAGGTGTCCAATCAATACGCAGCAGCAGGGTGGTGAAAGAAACTAAGAGTGGACGTGACTCGGGCAGCTTCAGGAAGAACTATGAGAAGGAAAAACGATGAGAGTTTAAAATGGTGGATCAGTTTTATGATGCGGAACACGAGACCGGGTTGTGTGTCGTTTACAGGCTTGGTTTAGTGAAAAATGCAGATTGTATTGGATTATGGAAAATGCAGGATCTATGTTTTTGGAGCTGCACTTTTAACATCTGAAGGTCAGGACCTCTTGGCCTCTGCTGCATTAATGTAATTGTTCTCTTTAGCAAGTGGTGGTGCTGCTTTATTCATCGGTCAGTTGGTCCAACACGGATCTGTTGTCAGGTTATGAAGAGACAGAACCCTTCAGTACTGGTTAACCCTGCTCAGGACTTTTGGGGTCTTTTAGCCATTTGGTTTATCCATCCATCATCTATACGCCGCTTCAGGAAGGCTGGAGTCTATCCCAGCTGACTCAGGGTGAAGGCAGGTTCACCTGGACAGGTAACCAGTCTATCACAGGGCTACACTTAGAGACAGACAACCAAGCACACTCACATTCACACATACGGACAATTTACAATCACCAATTAACCTCAACATGTTTTTGGACTGTGGGAGGAAGCTGGAGAACCCGGAGAGAACCCACGCTACACGGGGAGAACATGGAGACTCCATGCAGAAAGATCCCGGGTGTCCTCACCGGGACGCCAACTGGTGACCTTCTAGCTGCGAGGCAACGGTGCTAACCACTGAGCCACCATGCAGCCACTGGTAAAATTATATTTCTATAATTTCTAGGGTCTTAATCTTAATATTTAAACTTGTAGGGTCAGTTTGATCGTCTCATTTCTCTGTTGGAAACAACTTTAGTTCAGCAGCTGTTGGTATAAATCTCTTCTTATATAAATCCAGGTGACTTCACTTGACTTTAATGTCGTCTTTTTATTATATTTCTGTATAATTGTGTGTTGTTTTGTTTATCCTCCTTCACAGCCTGGTTGACGTTTTAATACAACTCTTTCCACTGTACTGCCACCATTCAAACAGATCCTGAACCTGCATGTTCGTTCTTGAGCACATGCATAAAACCCACAAACCCACTCAACATGAGATTGCCCCACCGGTGCAGAAAAACTCCTTTAACAACCCTGATGACATCATTAGGGGTTATTGTCCTGCAGAAAGCACCCAGCAGGCTCACAGGCTGACCGTCTTCAAGCGCAGAGTCGGTAGAAATCAGAATTAATCGAGTTGAGTCGATACGAACTTTGCAGGTCTTAACGTTTTTAATACGGCGCCGGTGAGCAGCTACAGTGTGGATAATGTGCAGCTCTCATAATGAACTCCCAGCAGTGCTTTCCAAAGTTCTGCTGCCTGGCTCGGTCGATCATCCGCTCTTACCGTGTCTGCCGCCTGCGAGCCCCATGCAGGTTGATGTTAATGGGGATGCTGAACGATCTCCGGGGAGAAGCTGTGTTCATGAACATGCCCACTCCTCCTCTGTCAGCCGCCTCCCAGCTCCAAGTGTGTGTCTATCCCCCCTTTAACGAGCTCTCCTCTATCTGAAAGTCAAATGTCCTGATCAGCAGCAGGCTCCAGCGCAGTGACCAGACTGCACCTTATCCACCGGGGGACTTCCTGTTGTTTACTGAGGCTCAAAGGTGAGCGCGACAACACCTTCCACCCTCATGTGCGTTGCTATAGGAACCGCCACAGGTAAGGCAGGTAGGATGCTAATGGCCTCTCAGCGGGCTCGTGACGCTCAGCCGCAGATGTTTGTCATGGAAAAGCCGAGCTCCATGAATCCCTTCTTGATTATTAACTTTTTGGAACTGTGACACTGCTGCACCGGTTCTCTCAGACATCTACACACACATTTAGACGAGATACTGACCCGAACACGTGAGTCCTGCGGCTTCTCATTCCCAGTTCGGCCTGTTGAGCTCTCGGTTAGTCCGTGTGATGTGGATGCAAGTTGCCCAGAGTTTATATGCGTTATTCAAACAATCGAAACGCCTTGTATTATTCATGGGCTGCTGAAAAACATATGGAGGTATTATCTCAGTGACAGTTGTGTTTAATATAACAAGCCCAAGGCCAGGAACACGACGGCAGCTTGAAAAGAGAGCAGCCATTCAGCAAAACAGACAGCGATGTCAGACCTAATTTATTCAGGATTGAATAGTGTTAATATGAATATGTTCTTTTATCACACACTCTGGTGTTAAAGCTCCATATTCTGGGAAACGTAACGAGTCTTTATCTGATCTGTTTTTTTTGTTTTTTATGGCTGTATGATTTATTATATGTGTTGAGAAAAACTCATCCACATCTACAACCTGCCGAGCAGAGAGGCCCGATGTGTTTCTTCGCTGAGAGTTTGCAGAGAATCAAGTGCTTTTGATGAAACTGAAGAAAACAAGATTAAAAATGTATAAAGCTCCGGGTACTTTAGCTCACCTGGTAACCTGACACACTGCCTTGGCCGTGAGGCTCGCAGCACGACGCCGCGCTGCAGGCGTGACTCAAACAGAATTTAACATAAAAGCCTAACGGGTTCGACTCGGGGATGTTTTGCTTCCGGACTATTCTGGTATGTGTTTCAGTTTTGGCGCTGTCCTTGTGATCCAAGCCGCTCTGAGACGACCTCCTACAATGGTGCGATGAATTCCTCTGGTTATCCCAGTTGGCCGGCGGCTGTAAGTGGACGCACAGTGTCTCTTGTTATCTAATTTCGCCTCTGAAGGACATCTCAGAGCAACATGCACAGACAAGAGGTCGGCGTGTAAAAAACCAGCAACAATGGACGATCACCAGAAGAGGAATCTGACTTTTTTCACCATCGGACTGATCTTCATGCTGAGCGGCATAGAGTACGGTAAGTTCCTTCACATCACAGACGATTAAACATCTGATTTAATCTCAATACATCTGGCTGCGGGTAAATGAAGCTTGTCATTTACACATCTCCCTCCTCCCCCCTCGTTGGTTCAGCTGTCATTCTGCCGACCATATGGAAGTACCTGCAGATCCTGGAGGCCCCACCTTACTTCCTGGGTCTGGGCCTGTCTGCCTTCAGTCTGAGCGGCCTGCTCACCGGCCCACTTTTCGGGCTCTGGTCAGACCGGAGGAAAACTACAAAGTCCATCATCCTTTTCTCTAATCTTTTTGAGATTGTTGGTGAGTCCAAGCACGAGACAGATCACATGACGGGCTCACGTTTAGACTCTGAGGGTCGTATTCGGTGGCAAAACTCTTGACTGAGTGACTGCAGGCTGCACAGAATTCAAACCTAAAATCGTGTAAAATTAACAGAAGATGAGATCACAGGTCATTCTTGAGAGAATTTTAATTTACTTACGCATTTAGTTCCTGTTTTCTTGTTGTTTTACTTTTATTATGTCTCTTGTGGATCACTTCCTAACATTGTTTAAAAAAGGCTGATGCTAACATTTAATATTCCGTATTGATTTTATTTTAGAATTTGATCATTGTTGAACTGTTTAGTCTTCATATTGTTTTACAATTTGATTTTTTCTCCTAGTTTTGTTGACTGACTATCAGGATGTTGGTCAATTCAGGTTGTTTCGCAACACGCTATACAAATATATTAATCTGATTATATATATGTATATATATATATATATATATCATTATTATTATTACATATTCATACATCTTTCCTATCCGATAGCCATCTAAATTTGCCTTTGTTGCTCCTCTTTGCATGACGAGTAGCGTTAATTTCCGGATAGTGATCATGAAACATACATTACATTTAATAATGCTTTATGAGGATAACGTGACTTCAGTGTGTTAAGCTGTAACACTGGCTGACCTTTCAGCCAGCTGTAGCTACACACTCCATACGAGCTGTTATCAGCGTCTAAACCATTAGATATAAAACATGGACGTTAGTTTGAGGACAAAGCCTCGAGTTTGGCGTTTGGCCGTCTAAATGGGAAAATCATTAACAAAATAATAAGAAAAAAAAGTCTTGAAAATAGCAACTGAGACCATAAACTCATTAGGAAAATGTTTACTCAAGTAAGAAGTAGCATCACTTTGTGCAGTCAGAACTGCTTTTGCAACCAGAGTAGTCGCCCCCTGCTGGCTGTCATTAGCATTTTTGACATAACTAGTTAAGTAATAATAATAACAATAATAATAATAATAATAATAATAACAAAGCTTATTTCTATAGCATGTATCAAAACCAGTGGTACAAAGTGCTTTACGACAAAATAAACACAATAAAACACACCACCAACAACAAAACAAATATGCAGAAGACATGGGCATACAAGTAAAACAAAAAGATAGAATTAGAAAAAAAAATACTGACAAGGAGAAATTTTTGAAAGCGCTATGAGATGACTTGTTGTTGTAAATATGCGCTACACAAATAAAATTGAATTGAATTGAATAAAAACAAAAGCAACGGAGCAAACAGGTAAAGGTAAAACAAGTGATATGTGTAAATAATAAAATATAAAATAAAAAAATAAAAATAAAAAATAAAAATAATATGTATATAATATATGACTAATATTCTAATAAAATATATAGCAAAGGAAATACAGTAATGATAAAAAGTATACTTCTGTTACTCCAGGTTGTAGGTGTGCAGCGAGTGAGCTGGATATCCAATGTCAGTAGCGTGTTGGCCAAAGGTCGGCGTTAAAAGGCAGCACTGAATCTATATAACGTGGTAAAAAAACAAAACAAAACAAAACAAAACCAGTCAGGGCTTAAAAAGACATTAATTAAATACAGCTCTCGAGACAATCTATAAAAACACTGGCTGGAAGTAAACTAAAAATGAAGCAATTTGAAACTCAACAGGAAAAGTCAAGAAGTTTTTTAAAGATGCGTGATTTCCATGTTTATTTGTCTTTAGGTAACTTCATGTATTTCATTGGATACTCAAAGTGGCTGCTGCTGTGCAGTCGGCTCGTAGCAGGTGACGACGCCCAACACACGCCCTGCATCATACATGCGTGTGAACGTCGCGCCGGTTGACATGTGTTTTTCCTCTCAGGTATCGGTGCAGGAGCAGGCTCCTCCATCTTCGGATTCCTGACCCGAAGCACTCGGCCGGAGGAGCGCGCCGGCATCTTCGCCGCCATCATGGCTGCCCGACAAGCTGGCCTCCTCATTGGTCAGTTTCACCTCCTCACCAGAGACAGATGTGTCCCTTCACTGACAAAGAAATAGATAGAAAATCAGACTCGGAGAAGGATCTTTGATGTTTAGTTTGAGCTTTAAGGACAGGAAGACATTCAATAAAATCGCTAAGGTGTAGGCTAGTGTCTACCACACATCCTCCATTTATCTCATCTTTAAAGCGCTTCCTCCTGTCTCTCCAGGGCCGGCGTTCAACCTGTTCCTGCGGCTGTGTGATTTCAAACTGGGGCCCTTTGTTGTGAACAAGTATACGTCTCCTGGGGTAACAGCATGCAGATAATCAGTAATCTAAGGTTTCTCTGAGAGGCTCATGAATACAGAAACAATCTTCAGAAACAGTCGCTCCACATTCTGCACTCGCATGTAGTTTCTTCTTCTTCTTCTTTTGTTCTCCTCTGAGTAAGAAGAATACAAAACACCTGCAGCGATACTCGGCCCGTAACAACCTGTATCGATCTATTTCCATCTCATGAGTGCGTCTGAATAAAACACCTGTAGCACGGATGCGGCTTAACAGAGACGTAACAAAGCTCTCCTTCCATTTTTCCTCATGATTTGACACTGAAAGCCTCCGTGTGTCAGGTTACTGCTCTACAAACGAATCCTCTACTGATAGGCTTTTATTTTTTTTGCAAATATTTGAGGCCTCTTTTTTCCCTCCACATTCTACCAGATCTTCATGTGCCTGCTGTGGGTGCTGCTCCAGTTCGTGGTCCTGGCTATGTACTGGGACGTACCACCCATCAGCTCGGAGGGGGGAGCGGCGGCGGTGAACCTGGAGATGAAACAGGAGGGCGAGGAAGCGCCGCTGATTGGCTCCGACGAGGAGCCGGTGCACACCTACAGGGCCCTCGGCGACGACCAATCGGAGTGCGAGGTGCAGCCCGGGAACGGAGAGTCGAACCCGTTCAAAAACTTCAACGTGGGCAGAGGTGAGCGATCAGCTCTTTGACTTCCTGTCCTGAGCAATGAGCGTCGGCCTCCCTCTCAGCCCATTTGTGGGGTTCACGGTAGGAGGAGGTGTCACTGCCGATGCACATGTTTCCTATCTGCTCTATTGATTTTCTTGCATTCACACACACACACACACACACACACACACACACACATTTGGTCTCTCTGAGGAATGTTGTGCAGCATGTCAGATCAGATTCCTTGTGTATTGATCGTCGGTGTGTGTGTGTGTGTGTGTGTGTGTGTGTGTGATGTCAGGTGTCCTATAGGATTAGTGTCATAGTAAGTTTACATAGAATATGAGCAGTGATTGTGTGCCGCTATTGATTATCTTTTTCTGCACTTTGTTAGGCCGTGTGTGTGTGTGTGTGTGCGTGCGTGTGTGCGTGTGTGTGTGCACACGTGTCAAACCTCCACATCGATTCTCTCACTCTTTGAAGATGTGGCAAAGGGATGGATAGCAGACTTCCTCTGTTATTGAGCGGCTTGCTGTGGTTGACTTGTGGATGAAATGGAGAAGGAATGGGTAATGTGGCCAACATTCTTCTTATCGATTCCTTTTTGTTCTGAGGAGAATCTACAGCGGCAGAAACTCTGCAGAAGTGGAGGATGTCTGCTGCTGCAGCGGCGGTGCGATACAGTAGGAGTGTGTGTTAGCCGTTACAGCGCGGCCGGTGCTCGCTCTCTTGAATTATTGATCCTCCCAGACTTTTTTTTTTTTTTTATGTTGCTGAATGTTTGAAGAACCTTTGAAAATCAGACACTTTCTTTTATCAAGTCTTTTTTGGTAGGGGTCATAGAACAACAACAACAACGCAACTGAAACCTGTGTGGATTTTTTTTTTGTTTTTGAAATGAGGAAAATTACACAACTCTGTTTCTCCGCCTTACATTTGGTCGGAAATGTCTGCAAGAGTGTGAACGCTGCAGCTGAGCTTCTGGAGAAAGATGGCTGCTCACCTGAGCGGCAAAAAAACTCCATCCTTAAGCTTTGTTTTTTTTAAAATCTGATTTTATTGTACTTTTTCATTACGATCCAGCCTCTAGGGTCAGCTGGATGAAACGCAATTTATCGCTCAGTAACGTAAACGAACAGAACGGTGACAACACAAAGGAAGATGGTGGATGCTGCTAAAAAAATCCAAGACCCAAGCGAAGGCTAACAGAGTGTAGAAGCTAGCTAACAAACCAAACTCTTTAAATCTAACAGAAGCTTCCACACATAATGAAAGAAACTAAAACAAACTAGTGCCTCAAAACAACTTCTTCACCAAGTTGTGCAGCTGCTAGCGGGAGTCAGTCTTCACTAAGACTCTCTCAAAACACCAAGTTAGCAGCTGCCAACAGAAGCTACATTACTGCAAACACAAACCAAGAGGCACCAGGACTGTTCACACTAAAGCCCAGCCAGCCAGACTGAAAGGTTGCTGGTTGCTTTTATAGCCAGGTGTGGTGATTGCTGAGGTGGAGGAGGAG